GCGCATCCTCACTTCATACACAAATTCAAGATTAAATTAAACAGACAATTGGCAACTGGTTAACACAAGACTGGTCCAGCAGTTATCATCCACTTGTCTGTAGAAGAGACACGAACAATTTGTTTTCTTCCACCAACCCAACTGGCTGCCTGATTTCACTGCCCCATCATTTTGACATAGTGTGCATTTAAGTTAGTCCTTTAATGATCCCCAAATGGACAAGGCCTGCTTGGGATGACAGAAATAATTATTTTACAGTCTATTTCTTAAAAAAAAAAAAAAGATTCTAACTGCTATTTCACTATCATACTAGAAGTCTAGTAACTTCTTCACAGTTCAATAACTCAGTCATTTTGTTCCTCAAATACCATATTTTCCCATGTATAATGAACACTTTTTTGCTCAAACTTTTAAAGGAAAAATAAGGATGTGCATTATACATGAGTAGTATTAATTCCATACCTGTATAAATGTTTTTAATTCTTTTATTTATGCTTATGAGTTACATGTATAACTCTAGGAAGCAATAATGATATCCACATATTTAAAAATAAATGCTAAAATTCCTTTATAATACAAAAAACAAGTATATAAATAAATAATGGAATTAAAAAATAAAACAAAAATTTTTTTTCCTGAATGTTTGGGCCAAAACCATGGATGTGCACTGTACATGGCAATATACAGTATTTGACAGTAAAACCTCAATTCAGCACATGGAACAGAGCTTTGAAAACATACCTGCATGCTAAGTAAAATAAGCCAACATAAAAGGGCACAAATATTCTATGATTTTACTTTTATGAGGTACCAGAATAAGTAAATTCACAGAGACAGAATAGAGGTTACATGTTGGCTGTGGAGGACAGTGGGGTGGGGGAATTATAACTTAATGGTTATATACTTTCTGTTTGTGATGATGAAAAGTGTGGAAACCAATTCACAACACTGTGAATATAATGAATGACAGTGAATTATAAGCTTAAAAATGGTTTTAAAGATAAACTTCATGTTATGTATATTTTACCACAAAAAAAATATTTAAAGCATATGCAGAGTCACAGAGAACATGTTGGGGGAGGGCAGAAGGGCACTGGAAGGTACATTCATTTACAAATTATTTGTTCTTTGCAATTTTCAGTTAACAAGATGGTCTTTTTAGTCATTCCATTTGATCATCATAATAACCTATGAGGTCGACAAGACAGGTACTGTTAGCTCTACTTATTTTAATGGATCAGCACCTTGAGGACTGAGGTTATAGCACTGAACTCCTCCTCAATGAAGAATAAATAAGCCACAGAAAGATGTGTTCATAACGTTTTCAAATTGGAACAGTGAGGTAAGACCATTTAATAAGGGAGACCTGTGCCTAAGCAATGATAAATAAGGCTGTATGGGGCTGACCTTGTGGCTGAAGAAAGAAGCTGGAAGTGGTGACTCAGGGGACATCAGAGGAGAAGGAAGAGGCTGTCAGTGCTCAAACACATTTGAAAGGTGAAATCAAAAATAAATACACGGACACAAAAGCACAACCTATACTTTCCAAGCCTCTGGCCAGACGGAGAATAGCTAAATCGTGGCTTCCCTTCCTTTAAATATGTACACCTCAGGCTATAATTGTTGATCTTCTATGGACTTTTCCTCTTTTGAAGTCTGGGGTGCTCTTTTGAACTGCAGACCAATGGGATGCTCAAGAAAGTGAATACGAGCCACTGAATCACTCATTTATGCAGCTGCCAAATCTGAGTGAGTAAATATCTAATATGGTTTGGTTTGGGGGCAGTAAGGAAGAATCATTTAAAAACAGATTAACTTTTACTCATGAGCTGAGTCTATTTTAAATAGCCCAATAACCTATCTTTCTCCTTTGAGGTAAGTAGTATTGGGTGCTTCACTCTCTTTTTCCTACAATGAACACTTACTCTCCCATCTCTATTTACCCCTGTATCTTCAGACCACCGTAAAGTGCCTGACTCTTAATTGGGACTCCAGTAATGCTGGTGGAATACACTGTTGAATTACTGTTTCATCATCTTAGAACAAAAATGCATTCTTTTTCACACTAAGTAGGCTAAACTTCAAAAACTATATGTACCTCTTCTATTACAACCACCAACAAAATAAGCAAGCTTGTCTTCACACTGAAATGCAACTGAGCTACGCAGTTTAGGTGAATAGTCTGGAATGTTTGAGGATAATAACCAGGATTAATGATGGGGTTCACATTACATGCCCATGTTGGCTGAGGACTACCCCAACAAGACAGATGTTCTATAATCACACAGCACACAAGAAGCCCAAATCAAATCTCCCCCAAACCCAAACAACAGACCTGAGTCCATGTTTGACTAAAAGTGAGCTGGGCATAACCTATCAAATTATTGCAATCACTGTTTCTAGTTCAAAACATTTTAGAGCTTCCAAGAACACTAAAATTAATAAAACTTCTCATTTCACAATACTTCCTATAAAATTTTTGTATTTAACATGTTAAACACATTAGAGTCGTGGTTCTCAACTGAGAGTGATTTTATTCCCCTCATAGGACATCTGGCAATGTCTGGAGACATTCTGGTTGTCACAACAGGAGGGAGGAGAGATGGTGGCACGTGACTGGCATCACACCACTGGGTTGAAGCTAGGGATGCTGCTAGACATCTACAGTACACAGAACAGCCCCCCAGCACAAAGGCTTATCCAGCCCAGGAGGTTAATGGGGCCAAGGTTGAGAACTCCTGCATTAAAGCAAGATACAGCTTGTGAGAATGTTAAAGATAAACAAGAGTTGGCTTCTGCTATTGTGGGCAATCCATTGAGTGATGGGAAGAGGCAGATAACACTGACAACAGGCTGTGATAAGTGCTGTGACAGAGGTGTGTACACAAGACTACGAAGAGTAGAAGCAGCAGCTACTTCAACCAGGAGGTCAACGCACTTCACCAGCAGTGACTTTCCAGCTGGAATTTGAAAGATGATTTCATCAAGTAGAAGAGAGCTGTGCACAGTGGAGAAACAACATGCACAAGCCAGCAAGTGCCAACCCGAAGGACTCCAGGGCCATCAGCATTGTGTGCCAGGCCCACCAAAGCCAGAGACTGACACAGTGTATCTCCCTAAAGGGCCAGTTTCACAAGCTCAGAAGGAGGTTAATAATTTAATGGGAAAAATGATATTTACAGCATTTTTTTAAATATCGAGAACACAGGAATATTGAGTAGAATATAAACCTTACATGAATTTTTAAAATAGCACAAGAATCTGCTTTGTTAAACATGTACTACAAGTTTAGGTAAGCACGGTTAAGTTTTTCCCACCTCCGGAATATTTTGGTGAAGTTTGAACAATGGGAAATGTTCCAAGTAATTAATTCCATGTGTCTGGAGCACAGAGTGGGTGCTCTGGTGGGAAATCAGGCTGGACAGTGTCATCTTGGTGGCTCTTGTACACTATGCGATAGCGTCCAAATTTCCCACAGACTGGGTAGGGGGACTGGCCAGAGGATTACAAGTGAGGAAATGGCATCTAGTAGTGCTGGAGAAGCAGGTGGCAGGAGAAAAGTTATGACACATGACAACTTAAAATATTTCAGATGAGAGGTGATGAAGTCTAAATAAGGCAATGGCATAAAGGGGGAAGATTTTGGATGTGGAGACAGTGGAATCCATAGGATCAAACACCAGACTGACAGAGAAGAAACTTTTTAGGTTGGGCAACTAGGTGGGCAAGCAATGAGGACAGAAAATGGGAAAGTTTCTTATGGTAGATGTAAAGATGATCTCATCTGAACTTCAAGACAAACCTGTAAATTATGTAAAATATGTAGACACAACCATGTTGGGTTTACTGATGAGTTTAACGAAGCTCTGAGAGTGAAGGCTTTGGCCAGAATCACCCCTCTGTTGCAGAATGACTGACCTCAGAGCACAGGGCTCTCAGCATCTAATGTGGTTCTTCCTCTCACACTCTCTCTCTCTAGTCACATTTTATAATTAAAATCAAACCTGATGATCATGATAGATCAATTTGGACCCAATTTCCATAGGCCTTCAAAGCCTTGGATCAAATTCTGAATTGGTGATGATAAGTTAGGAGCTTGCCCACTTCCCATTTTAACTTCCATGTCTTCCAATTGTGAAATCCAAGAGACAATTAATTGTGACTAATTGTGAAATTCAGGACACGTAAATGAAGTTTTTTTTCTTAAATTGTTCTTTATCCAGTTCCTGGATATGACCAGAATGATTGAGAGTACTCATTTTTTATAACTGCACGAGCAATCACATTGGAATAAATCAAAATTCTAGCAACAAGCCTTAGCACTTACATGCATACCTGCAGGTAGACACTGAAATGGCCTGGTGAAAACTACGGGCACAAGACCAAGCACATAACCTGTCTGTGATCAGTTCACTAAAAATGGAGTACCGCTTTTTCTCCCCATGCATTTTTACCTAGTGAACTCACTATGAAATCGCTACAAAGGTGTATGATAGAAAGATAATCTCTCTCTCTCTGCTAGACCCGGAGAAGGCTCAATAAATACATATAAATAAATAAAAATGGGTTTGGTGTGGCTGACTCATTCCATTGACCAAGTAATACAATGACCTGGAACCTTAGCTTGGGCTTGTGAGATCTAGTTTGGGGTCTCCCTCTGCCTGTCACTTAACCAGCTGAGTAAGCTTAGACAGGTAAAGTGCTTCTCCCTGGATTTCTTGATCTATAAAATGGAGACATTGATACCCACCTCCTATAATATAAATGAAAGGTTAAAGACTGTAAAATGTTTTAATATACTACTATTACATCAAAGCTGTCAGTAACCGATACCTTCCTGTGTTACAATAAAAAACACCATAATCTCCTTATTTTTTCAACCTAAAATGTAGTGCGACTCTATAAATAAAATACAGCTGTCTAAGCAGGCGTGCCCCTCCTACCACATAGCCCACCAGTGGCTTTCTGCATTTCCCAGAACCCCTCCTGGAGATACTGACCTGGGAGAGAGGGCATTCTTTGGCTAATGTGCTCTGGTTCATCTCTTTGAGCAGTTCCTTTAAGGCATTTCGGACTGTGGCGTGGTTCCACTGCTCTGCAGGCAAGTCTTCCAACTTCGAACAACTGGAAAACAGAACAGAACAAAAACACAAACCTTCATTAAGGGCCCTGACTGCAGAAGGGTATGGGAGCAGCGGTCACTCCTGGGTACTAGGTCGGCATTAGAAGAACTGCTAAAGAACAGGAGCTGATGTGCATCCCAAAGGAGGGAAGGGGAGCAAGAAACTGCTTCCCTGGGACCTTGATAGAGCTCACTGGTCACTTTAAGTGGGTTATCTCACTAGTCTGAGAAAAACAGTCACGTTGGATATGAAGAAATGCTAATTTTTTAAAATAAGACTTCTCTGATCTGCTGAGAGAAATGGCATGGGAATGTGATTATTAACTTCCAGAACACAAATTTAATTATTGGACATTCCTGAGGTTAAATGTAAAGAAACGTTCCATCAGATTTAAAGTGAAAAGGTGTTCACTCTCACAGAAAAATTCAGAGGTGTTACTTTCCTAACCAGAAAATAACTTTTAAGAGAAGACACCAAAGCATTCCTAGAGAAGGGTGAAAATTTTGTGTTCCTATTAAAGTACAAATTCTCCATAAGAGGCAAGTTCAAAACCTTTACACTGAAGGACAATGTTTATATCATGTGACCTGCAGGCATTTTGTAATACAAGACTCTGCAGAGAACCTCTAGATTCTTTAAGAGACACATAATTTGTTCTGGATGCTGTATCTGGCGGGGGGAAAAAGGCAGAAACAATGCCCAGAAACTCTGCAGGCCATCCGAGAGAGAGGACAAGATGTCCTGTGCCAGCACCTCCTTAGTAAATCTGCTACACGGGCAGACTGCTTATCCCTCACAACACAAACCTGAAACAGTAGAGGTGTTTATTCTTCAAATACTATGTGCTAAGCATTTAACCAGAGGGCCCGTTAAAGTAGGGGCTGTGGAAAGTTCCCCTTTACGGGCTGCAGATTTTTAATGATTTATCAAGCTTCCCCTAGGTTACCACTTCACTGCTTCTGAAAACAAAACATAAAACAGTTGGAATGTGGACTGTAAAGGTGCCTGGTGAAGTGCCCTCCTTCCCCTCCCTCTCTCCCTCTTTTCGTTTCACCCAGTGTCTAGAAATCAGCAAAGACAGGACGCGCTGATCTCTGCAGTGACTCTGTGATCGAGGGAGCCGCTCTGAGACTAAGGGAGGGCAGATGTTCAGAGACACCCACCTCTGTAATTGGATTTTCAGCGTCACAACGTGATAGACATCTTGCAGCATGTCGGCCACTGTCGCATCGGGTGCATCTGTCACATAACTGAGGGGGAGAGGGTTCCACCTCCCCAGCTTGATTATTCCTACACAGGGAAGAAAAACATAGTAAACACATATCTGCTATTTATTAAACCTTCCCCGTTGTTTGTTTAATGTTAAGAAGGTCATTCAATAGTCAACATTCAAGGCCCACTCAGAGAAATTTTACAACCTGGTGCAATAACCTATGTCTTTCTGGCTGACAATTGAGTCAACTACACAGGAAGATGAGAAGACAGGGAAGGGGTTCAATCACGGACAATCAGTTATTTTATGTTTTGCTGTTTCTTAAATTACTTAGAAAAGCATAAGGATACTTCCTTCCCCCAAAGTCTTGTTTCACACTCTAACTTAAGACTGATGCTAAATATACCAGACTGCTGATTTCATAGACAAAAAAAAAAAAGCAAGCCTTAAGTAAATATAAGATTGGGATTTGAATTGTACGAGACAATTCCTCTGTGTGGGCTCAGCACACACACAGTCGCATCCCGCCGGTGGTGCGGTCCCCAGTGTGAACAGCCTTGGGAGCTGAGGAAGCAGTTCAGCGTTCACTCCCAGGTTCGCATTTCACCGGACAGAGGGGTTGTTTTCCGATAGCACAAGGACTGACCACAGACCAGAAATAACAAAGATGCTTTCGACTTCCTTTTTTTTTAATTCCTCAGCTCTTTACAGAGTGACAATGGTACCCTCCCTGCGGGGTTCCTGTGGCATATGGTAAACACATGACAACGGAGAAAGAATAAAAATCCTGGTCCAATGTAGGCTACAAAGAGCAGTGACCTCAGCAACACCCTTGTCACAGGAAGACTCATAAATGAGACAGTTTCTGCAACATGTTGTGAAAATGCTGACTTAGGCTTAAGGTGGACCCATCTGATCTGGGCATATATAACTTTGATGAAGAAAAAGTAAAGAGAAATGCATTCCACAAACAATACAGAGTAACAAAAGTTTTATTTGTAGGCTATGAAAAATCAAATGGTCCCCACCAGGATGTCAGAAATTCACACACACACACACACACACACACACACACACACACAGCATGTGTTAGTGACAGAAGAAAAAAATAACAGCATTTTTATTTTGATTTTGATAACACAGGTAAGTACAACTGCACTGTTCTTTCAAAAAGTATTTTTTTATCATCAAAAAGAAAAGGCACCCATATATCCAAGTGAACTTTTAAAAGCTTCACAAAATGATACTTTATAGCTTTGGAGTGAAATTCCAATAATAGGAAATGAACTCTCCGGTCAGGCCATGTCCTGTCCAAGATGAAATAAATGAATGCGCAATGCCTGACATAATGCTTGAAAACAGGGAATAAACAGAACAAAAATATTAAAATGATGCACTGTTTCAGTATTAAGATTTAACAATCTGGTGCTGAATATGCTGCAGTATAAATAGTGCCTGGACTCAGATCCAATAAAGTAACACAGCTCTCATTCATAGTACCGTATGTCTCCAGTTCTGGCTCCTGAAGTCATACTTCACTTGCCAAGAAAAGCTGTTTTCTTGTGGGGATAGTTTTCCTAACATTCACTCTCATGACAATGAAAAGTGCGCAGCACGCAGAATGTAGTCGTCATGAAATGAACAACCCGGCCCGCTGGACAGCCACCCACGGGCCAGGGGGTGTCTGCTTATTGCTTCTTTTACTCCTTCTGATACTTGAAAATACTAAAAAGATACCATGTAACATGTCTAACATATATCCTTGTTAAAAATCATTCCACAATTTTAAATTCCTCTAAAAATCATTATCATAATGAGTATATTATGAGCCCATAAATTGAATATAACTTGACCACATTCTAAAGACATGATATTTCATTATTAGAGATTAGAAGGGAATAAAAATGAAATTGACAACTGTACACTACTAAAGGCAGGCAAGTTGCAGAAGCTGACTTCATGGGTCATTTTGGTTACTAAAAATACAAAGATAATATGAAGCAAATAAAACCCGCAAACTTCAATCCTTTGCACAACCCTATAGCAGACCCACCTATGTTGTTGTGTGTGCCATTATTCACTCTTTTTCACTGCTGAGTAGTGTTCCACTGTGAGAATATACCACAATGTGGCCAGAAACAACAGAATACTGCTGTATGATTTCACTTATATAAAATACAAAAAACAGGCAAGATTAATCCATGGAGCTAGAACTCAGAAAGGTGTTATCTCTGGACAGCGGGGACGAGTGACTAGAAATGGACATAAGGGAATTTTCTTGTTTGGGTTGGTGGCTGCAATGGTATAAAAACTGTCAAATTTCAGAAAATCAAACTATGTGCATACATTTTATTGGATGTGAATTGTCCCCCCTCCCAAAAAAGAAAAGGTGAAGGGGGAGAATCTCTTTACAGGAAATGATAGACAATCACTCTACTAGAAATAGTAACTTCCATTTAGGTAACTCTCTCCCCACATTGATGAGCCAGAAGGAGACTTGTTTGGGCTGGAATTAGACACACACAGGTGTCTTCACAACACTTAATACCTCTACCGAAAGCAGCTGCTACAGGTTGGTTTCTACCTCTTGGAAGAGAGCTGTTGACAGATGCTATTTTCAGGCAATGGGAAATGGCACCTGCTTTTCCTTTTTTGCACCCTATTAATTAACCTGCATAGTCGTACAAGTCATGTTCTTTGCTCAACTATGTGCCAGGGCCTACAGGTGCAAGATCTGCTAGGACCGCTATGTCTAGAAGGCTGCTCTCCTCCAGCCAAGGCAGGGACTGGAAATAACTCTCTTTAATAAGAATTTCCTCCAGATAGGGTCTCTAAGCAATGCATTAACCCTCTGAAAATACAATCCTTGGATATGGTGCTCCTTCTCAAAATAGACAAAATAGACAAAAATATGGCGTGGGCTAGGAGTCAAGGGTTAACTGAGGAAATCCGATTGGAAAGCAGTGTACCATAGTGAGTAAGAACACAAGCTTCCAAGTCACACTGCCTCTATTCACATCTTGGCTCCCCCACCTACTAACTATGTAGACTTAGCAAGTTACTTAATTTCTCTACACCTCAACCCTCTCATCTGTAAAATGGAAAAATAAAAATACTGACTACATGGGAATAAAGTGCAAATTAACTGTAAAGCCATTTTTAGTACAGAACCTGGGTATAACTAACGTCAACAACAGTTGACAGTCATTATTTAGATGTTTTTAATACTTCCTAAAAGAAAGATATAGTCCATTTATTTCAAAACATATTGAATCAAGGATTTTTTATGATTTAGTTACCTTTCCATCTTTAGTTCAGTCACGTGCCTGTAAAAGGCCCTCACTGTTATAAACCACAGAGGACCGCTGTGCATCAGTTATGACCCTCCTTCCAGTCCCCCAGCCCTTTCCATTTCTTCCATCTGCACTCTAGGGGGCCTCCTTTCCTTTTACCAGTGAGCAGATTTAGAGCTCCCCTACTTGAATGATAACACTACCACAATCTCTTTCCCCTTAGTCTCTCATGTTTTGGGCCACCAAATGTACTGAACATGCACCTCCAACGTCTCCATCAGACCTCCCCTTGATATCTAGTTTCAACACTTCCATGAGAAAACGGACGTTCAGAAGGGTTGGGTCTACTTGAAGGATCAGAGCCCAGATTCCCTTCAATTACCACGCTCTTTCTCAGTCCACGCTGGTTCACGTGTGAGGCACACCAGAAGAACAGACTGGAAAAGAGGTGGTTCCACGTCTGGAAGGCCTTGAATGCCCAGCTCAGTAGCACACAGTATGGGTCAGAGGTCAGAAGCACAGCCTGGAGTCAGAGGTGAGTTTAGATCCCACCTCATCTCCTTTCAGCTGTGACACTCTGAACAGGTCATTTAGTCTCAATGAGTCTCAGTTTCCCACATCTGTAAAATGGGAATAGTAGCAATATCTACCCTTTAGGGTTATCATAAGGCTTTAAAACAGAATTAGAATTTAAGCACTGGGGTTGGCACACAACGAGTGCTCCGTAAATGTCATATGGAAATAGACCCTTGAAAGCTTTTGAATGTAGATATAATGTAAGGACATGAGCCTATACTGGAATACAGGTGGATTAAAAGAGGGAAGCATTTTGAGGCAAGAAAAAAGAGCTGTAGTAACACAGATAAATGTGTCTGATTACAACCATAACAGCCTCTTCCCTGCTCCCTCTGAAGAGGGACACCAACCCCACTGGATGCTCCAGTGCAGTGAAGGAGGACAGAGAAGAACCGCAGGCTCCGTGCCCACTGCAGATACCTGACTCACGACACTGGGAAACTCTCAATAAAAATGGCACAACTATAAATACACAAATATTACTTCCAGTGCTCACACTCTATCAATAGGTTTTGCAACCTCAATCTGGAAAATGGGAAACATGAATTATGATTAAATTAGATAGTACCACACTCACACAGATGCACACATACACACACACACCCCACCCAAGCCCGACCAGGCACATAGCAAATGCTCAGTCAATATCAATTCCCATTTCTCCTCTGAATACATATCACATTTTCATTCTGTCTGGAATATCGATTCCCCAATATTCACTTCTACAAATCATATGCATTCTTCTAATTCTGCCTCAAGAACAATTCTAACCCTGATCAACCCAGCCAAAGTCAATCTATTCTCTACACAGCTGCACAATAAAGTTTTTGGTTGGTTTGTGTGTCTTATAAGGGACTTTATCACAATATCCTTTATGTTACTTTACAGTTTGCAAAGTGTTTTTTTTTCAATCCATTAATTCTTTGCCATGAGAACAGCAACAGGTCAGCATTCTACGTGGAAGTGGGCTGAAGATCAGAGAATGTCACTTCTCAAGGACACTAGTGGGGTGTAGTGAGGACCAGACCCTGGGCTTCATCTGACAAGTTTTCTGACTCTGGGACCAATAATCACTTTTCTATTCAGCCCCGTTCACATGCCAACGCCCAAACACACAATGGGCCCTTGGAAGGCTGGGCCACGGCTCATCCACAGCCACGTATCAGTGCTGCCATTTAATGTTTCCCAAAGGGGCACAGGAGACCAAT